AATTTTTATTTAGTTGTTAAGGTGCTGCTGGACTCTTGCTCTTTTCTATGCAAAAATGAATTATTCCAGAGAGGGTTTTTTCTACAACGGCAATAGACTTGCACTGTACCAAATGATTCACAAAGCTACTTGGATAAATGGTTAGGGATTGTGTATAGCTAGCTTTAAGTAGGATCCGACAATGTAATTTTGCATCATTTAACGTGTCGTGTTAATACTCAAGTCTTTCCTTCAGTTCTGTTTTTAGATTTCTGGTTGGTTCTCCAGCCCTAATTCCTATAGTGCTGTTTATTGAATTGACTCGCTCTGTGTAATCCACCTCGAGCCCCAGTAGAGGGGCTGTGGCTCAGTGGCAGAGCCTCTGCTGGGCATGCAGAAGGTCCCAGGTTCAATCCTCGGCATCTCAAGTTTTAAAAGATCAGACAATAGGTGAAGGGAAAGACTGAGGATCTGACTCGGTATAAGCAGCTTCCTGTGTTCATATTTATTAGGGAGGGGCTGTGGCACACTGGTAGATCATCTGCTTGGCATGCAGAAGGTCCCAGGTTCAATCCCCGGTATCTCCAGTAAAGGGGGGGAAAGACCAGGCAGTAGGTGATGGGAAAGACCCCCGCCTGAGACCCTGGAGAGCAGCTGCCAATCTGAGTAGACAATACTGACTTTGATGGACTCAGTGTCTGATTCAGCAGAAGGCAGGTTCATGTGACTTCAAATAACGTACATTAAAAATCTGCTTCAGGCTACTTCTGGTGTAATGGAGCAACAAAGTAAAAGCAACTAAGTAAGAGCTTCTGACAAGAAACAATTCCATCCTGACCTCTCATTAAAAGCAGAGCCAAGCAAGGATGTAATGAAAAGGTGTCCCCGAGCATGTGCAAAGGGCCTTTCACCTGACACCACGGAAATAACTGCAAGACTGCCCTGCACACTGCTTGAAGAAGAAGAAGAAGAGTTTGGATTTATACCCCGCCCTTCACTCGGAATCTCAGAGCGGCTTACAAACTCCTTTCCCTTCCTCTCCCCAGAACAGACACCCTGTGAGGTAGAAGAAGAAGAAGAGATTGGATTTATACCCCGCCCTTCACTACCCAAAGGAGTCTCAGAGCGGCTTACAAACTCCTTTCCCTTCCCCCCCCCACAACAGACACCCTGTGAGGTAGAAGAAGAGATTGGATGTACACCCCGCCCTTCACTACCCAAAGGAGTCTCAGAGCGGCTTACAATCTCCTTTCCCTTCCCCTCCCCACAACAGACACCCTGTGAGGTAGGTGGGGCTGAGAACTCTTGACAGAAACTGCTCTTTCAAGGACAGCTCTTGTCAGAACTATGGCTGGCCCAAGGTCACACCAGCAGGTGCAACTGAAGGAGTGGGGGAATCAAACCCGGTTCTCCCAGATTAGAGTCCGTGCACTTAACCACTACACCAAACTGGTTGAAGATTAGTGTATGACATACAGAAGGGCTGTTTCAGTCCTTCCCCCTCTACAAACTGCTTATTGCTATGGCTATCCGTTGGTTATTGTTTTAAATGTAGCCAGTCATGTAACTCTACTAGATCTGCATAAACGTACACACAAAACAAAGTTTTCTGAAGGGAAAAGACCACACACGTGGTCGTCTTACTCTCTAGAGGATTCACGCCCCCCCCCCCCTCTCAGCCGGCAAAATCTCAGAAGTGGCTTCCCTTCCTAGGCGAGAAAAGAGAGGGAACGCCTCTTCTAAGAAAAGATGGGTGCCACCTGTGGATCTGAAAGGCCTGGCATTAGTAGCAGCCCTGAGGTGGAGGGCCGAGGCCAGCCACATCTCGTCATATTCGGAGAGCTAAGCAGTGTCAGCCCTGGTGAGTACTTGGGAGACCTACAAGGAAGGCCAGGGTCGCTACACAGAGGCAGGCAAGGGCAAACCTCCTCTGAACGTCTCTTGCCTCGAAAACCCTACTGGGGTTCCATAAGTCAACTCCGACTTGCCGGCATGTCAAGCCCCGGCATCTCCAGATAAAAGGATCAGGCAGGAGGTGATGGGAAAGACCTCTGCCTGAGACCCTGGGGAGCTGTAAAGAGGGGCCGTGGCTCAGTGGTAGAGCATCTGCTTGGCATGCAGAAGGTCCCAGGTTCAATCCCCAGCAGCTCCAGTTGAAAGGATCAGGCAGGAGGTGATGGGAAAGACCTCAGCCTAGACCCTGGGGAGCTGTAAAGAGGGGCCGTGGCTCAGTGGTAGAGCATCTGCTTGGCATGCAGAAGGTCCCAGGTTCCATCCCCGGCATCTCCAGTTGAAAGGACCAGGCAGCAGGTGATGGGAAAGACCTCTGCCTGGATCCCTGGAGAGCTGTAAAGAGAGGCTGTGGCTCAATGCTAGAGCATCTGCTTGGCATGCAGAAGGTCCCAGGTTCCATCCCCGGCATCTCCAGTTGAAAGGACCAGGCAGGAGGGGATGTGAAAGACCTCAGCCTGGGACCCTGGAGAGCACCTGCCAGCCTGAGTAGACAAAACTGATCTTGACGGACCCCCGTGTTGGTACTGTAGGGGTCACCTGGCACCAGAGCTGTTTTTAACAGCCCTCTCCACCTCTGTTCGTAGAGAAGAGCTGCACAATCGATAAAACACACTCTTCCGTGTGATTTGAGTCCGGTCGCACCTTACAGACCAACAGGACATCTGTATTGTTGCCAACCTCCAGGTGCTGGCTGGAGATCTCCTGAGATCACAACCAATCTCCAGGCGACGGAGATCAGTTCGCCTGAAGAAAACGGCCGCTTCGGGAGGCAGACTCTATGGCCTTATACCCCATCGCAGTCCCTCCCAGCCCCCAAACCCCGCCGTTCTCAGGGTCTGCCACCCAAATCTCCACTTATTTCCCAACCTGGAGCTGGCAACCCTAGATATTCGGGATGTTAGTTTTCGAGAGCCCTGCCAAGGTATCTGACACAGGGAACACACAGTTCTGTGTGGTTTCCCCTTAACATACATACATAACATAAGAGACGCCAATGTTGGATCAGGCCAAAGGCCCATCTAGTCCAACACTCTGTGTCACACAGTGGCCAAAAATACCAGGGGCCATCAGGAGGTCCCACCAGTGGGGCCAGGACATTAGAAGCCCTCCCACTGTTGACCCCCCCCCAAGCACCAAGAAGACACAAGCATCACTTGCCCCAGAGCCCCTAGCTATACCTTGTGGCTAATAGCCACCGATGGACCTCTGCTCCATATGCTTATCTAATTCCCTTTTGAAGCCGTCCATGCTTGTAGCCGCCACCACCTCCTGTGGCAGTGAATTCCAAGTATGAATCACTCTTTGGGTGAAGAAGTACTTCCTTTTATCCGTTCTAACCCGACCACTCAGCAATTTCATGGAGTGCCCATGAGTTCTTGTATTGTGAGAAAGGGAGAAAAGTACCTCTTTCTCTACCTGCTCTTTCCCATGCATAATCTTCTAACGTTGGCACAGCTTTGTCCAGGTAGGTCAGAACTTGGGCATAGTGACAGCTCTTCGACCACTTTTGATTCAACGCACTTGTTTGAGAACCTCAACCTATTAGGATATTTCTTATACGCCAGATGTATGACGCTAGTTCGTAAGGGAGGCACAATTCGAACCAGGGGGCTTCCTGATCCATAGCTCAGGTAGCACGATACGCCAGGTCTTCGGAAGACTGAAAATCTCTCTCTCTCGAATCTCTGCACGGCTGGCACTATCGTAAAGGTTGACGCACAGAGATTCGAGAGTTGTGCAGCACTCCGTGAAACACGCTGACCGGTCGAGATACGCGCATGCTAGAGAGGTGGAGGACAGACCGCGAAACCCTCATTCTCAGTCCTCAGTTCACCTGCAAACCAAACAAGCAAGCCAACATCTTTCAGCCTCGGGGACCTGTTGACGCAACACGGGAAAAACACCGGCCTACCTTCCAGGGCTGTGGGAAGGAACGCCAACATGCCATATGGGAAAAAACACATGATATTTTCTCATCACCAGAATATTTCCTCATCACCAGATGCAAAGGATGAAAGGCCGGCCTCCTATCTTTAGACGTCAGCCGCGCACAAAGAGACAAGTGTCCGTAATTCCTATGCGCAATTTTTTTTTTTTGCTCCCGGGGGAACAAATGCCTGGGATTTCTCTTACTCTACGAGGTAGGAACGAGCAAACCTTTGCTCCAGTTTCCCTCGTGCCTACGGTTTGCCCTGTGACAAGTCTCCCCGACAGGAAGTCGGAAGAGAAAAAGAGCACTGAAAGAACCCCTCTAGACCAAATTCCGCCAGTTCAACTTGCCTACAGTGAATTGTGCAGTGCAGCGAGGCATTTCCGACAGACTGCCATGCACCAGTATTTCCAGCTTTTGCGGCAAGATTTCCGCGGAATCTCCCCAACGGCCCTTTCCAGACAGCTGCCAAACTCCACCGTGCACAGACACAAAACACACCATTTCCTTGTAAAGGCGCACACACGGGTCTGGAACTGCCGTAAGACAAACGCCAACGCCAAGAACCCTAGCTCCCCGCGCTGAAACACCGTCCCCCCACGCCACCCAAAGGGGAGTGGGGGAACCATCCAACCACCCCCACACAAGGTGAGCTCCTCAGGATCCCCGCACCGCCAAACGCCGGCGCAAGCCCCGGAGGAGCCCCCGAAAGAAGCCAGAGCAAATCCAGACTATACGTGACCTGACTGACTTATTGGACAGGAAGTTGTAAGGGACCCGAAAGGGGTGTGTGTGGAAAACTATCAATCATTCACGCCAGACCCATAGTTCCGCCAGAGCTTGCGGTGGAAGAGTTTGCAGAGGGGGAAACCTAGCCCAAGGGTGGTGTCCTGGCCATTTGCTTGCGCATTCCTTTCCAGAAAGACAATCGGTGTGTGGGGAGGGGGGGAGATTTCAGTGGGGCCCCGCATTCCCCCGTCTGCAGCAGCAGTGGCCCTGTCCAGCCGTCAATCAGCGAACAATGTAGCATGCAAAAAAAGGAACCAGAGGGTGGAGGAGAAGGGGAGGGGGGACTTACCAGGGTTATTGGCTTCGTTTTCGAGAATGTGCAGTTCGGTGCAGTCGGCCAACGAATGCTCCAAGCACAGCTGAAGGAATCGGGCCTGGCTGCGGCTCACCCGCTTCAGGAGGGAGAGGAGAGCGACGGTCTGTTCGCATTCGTTCCAGCCTTTGAACCAACTGGCCAGCACGCCGACCTGGTCTCGAAACATCATGGTTGGCCGGTCGTGTGAACGCAATAACTGGAAGTGGGGGGTGGAGGGGGAATGCAGGTATATAGATAGATATTTTCTTCAGGTGGGAAAAAAAGTTTTTTTTAAAAAAAAAGAAACCTTCCGAAAGTCCCCGGCACCCTAAATCTTCAGGTTTGACTTGACACAGTGGGGACTGCAGATGCAAGGCCGATTGGGGGGCCCTGATGTGGACTTTTGGGGTTTCTCTTCTTCTTTTGGACACCCTCCCGATTCCGGCAGCCGGGGAGGGGAGGGGGGCGTCTTGCAAATTCCTCCGGTGATGACGCCACTCACTCAGCAGCCGCCAAAGGAAGCCGAGGGGGCGATGCGCTGTATTTCCCAACAAGGCACAGCAGTGTGTCGAACAGTGCATGTGTGGATGTGCGGCACGAGAGGGAGAGGGAGACGGTGAGAGCTAGGCGGCCGCTGCTTCTTCTTCTCTTCCCCCTCTGGTGATTTTAGCCGAGGCTCCTCTCGGGTTCTCTCTCCTTCCTCCGGGCGGCAGCGATCCGGGGGCCAGCCACAGCAGCAGCCGCAGCATTCCTCGCGGAGCAAAAAAAAATAAAAAAAATAAAAATCTGTTCAACAACTGTTGGGGGGAGAGGGAGGGAGAAAGAGAAAGGATTTTTATTTTTATTTTATTTTTTTTGCCGTGATGGTACCGATGACACACTCCGCAAACCAGGGCTATGATTCAGCATGAGAAGGAATCCGGGCTGGGTGTGTTGGTGGTTGGGGGGGTGTTTTAAAGGGGGGGATCTCCCAGCAAGGAAGGGGTAAGTGCGAGGAGGAGGAGGAGGAGGAAGGGGGGGAGAGACACTCCACCGCCGCAGCCCACACACAGGCTCGGCGAGTGACGGGGAGAGGTGTGGGCTTTGGGTTCGAAAGAAGCCCTCCCTCCTCCAGGGCGGTGCGGAGACGGGGAGAGGCTTCCCCTGTCGTGCACTGGAAAGCAGATCCCTGCAGGGCAGGGGGGAGATGCGGATGATGGTTCGGCACAAGGAGACGGGTGGGCACTGGTGGG